GGTTTGGCCCCCCCAAACTCAAACGTCAAGCTACGCCTATGCTGGTACTTAAGTAAAAGGATGGGTTTAATGTGTAAATAATAGATCACACTAACATTAGGCTACTTTGCCTCCTCATTTAATTCAAGGCATTGATGTTTGCCTACAAAACCACCACTGGCTCTGCACCCATTTACCTAAATTCATTACTTCAGAGTTATGTGCCCTCTAGAAGCTTGCGTTCTGCAAGTGAACTGCGTATTATTGTGCCATCTCAAAGAGGCACAAAATCACTTTCACGGACTTTTTCATTAACTGTTCCCTCCTGGTGGAATGACCTGCCCAAATCAATCCGAGCAGCTGAGTCCTTAACCATCTTCAAGAAACGACTAAAAACACACCTGTACCTTTATTTGACCCTCTAACTCTAACACTTTCTATTCTATTTTAATTCTACTTTATCTATATTTATCTTCTTTTTTTATTTAAAAACAAAACAAAAACAAACAAACAAAAAAAACACTAGCTTTCTATTTTTTCTATTTGTTTTTCTGTGTGTGTGTGTATAATATATATATACACCTTGCTACGTGTACTGCGTTAGGCTAACCGAGACTTGTCATTTGCACTTATATATTGTTGCTCTTTTGTTAGTTTTGACTGATTTTATTGTCCTCATTTGTAAGTCGCTTTGGATAAAAGCGTCTGCTAAATGACTAAATGTAAATGTAAATTTAAGGCAAAATCAGAGTACAGGCAGTTTTAGCTTAAAATTAAAAAGAATATAATCAATAATCATGAATTACAAAATTATAACCTATTTGAAAAATAATGTTAGCTGATACTAACTGGCTAGCTAACTACCTGATGCTAACTTGAGGTAATTTTTAAATATAAAGTCCAAATATTTTTATTCAACCAACTAGAATACATTTGATGGAAAAACAAAGGATTTGATGTTCAGAACAGAGTAACTACAGAAATTAAGCCATTTTACCCCACAGAATATGTTTGAAAAAAATTGTCATTCTGAAAATATAATTATATTTTTCTTAAATAATGTACCCCCTATCTACAGGCCTTACTATTCTCATACCATCAGGGGCAGTCGTGGCCTAATGGTAGAGAGTCCGTCAGACTTGTAACCCGAAGGTTGCAGGTTCGAGTCTCAGGTTTGGATGGGAATTGTTGGTGGGGGGAGTGAATAACCAGCGCTCTCTTCCACCCTCAATACCACGACTGAGGTGAGACCCTTGAGCAAAGCACCGAACCCCCAACTGCTTCCTGGGCGCTGCAGCAATATGGCTACCCACTGCTCCGGGTGTGTGTTCACTACTGTGTGTGTGCACTTGGATGGGTTAAATGCAGAGCACAAATTCCGAGTATGGGTCACCATACTTGGTCACTTTAACTTCACATACATACTGTGATGTCCTACAAAACAACAAGCTTTAAAACACTTTTTTTTCTTACTGCTGAAAATTGGATCACTTACTGTGAAATCTGTTCAATGTAGTCCATAGTTACAACAAAAATGTATCTTGACTTTATCTACAGTAGTGGTTATTTTAGGAAAAACAGTAGGGGGTATTTTTCCTCCACTCTACCCTAAATTTGTCTGGAAAGAAAGGATGCATTTTCAAATTATAATAATAATACATAATTAAGAATATTCGGAATGTTCGATATTATTTATCTTTATGAAAAAAATTAATAGAAGAATATTTAAGTAAAATAACAGTAAAATTTATCATATAGTAAATTTTTATAATTTGATCAGTAAAATCTGATCAAAAATACAGTAAAATCAGTATTATTGTGAGCTATTAATACAATTTACAATACCAGTTCTCTATTTTAATGTCCTGTTATGGCAAAGCTGAATTTTGGCATTACCTTTCTGTTCCTTCAAAAATCATTCTAATAAGCTGATTTGCTGCTTAAGCTAAATTCTCTCTCTCTCTCTCTCTCTCTCTCTCGCTCTGTCTCTGTATTTAAAAAAAAAAGTGAGTGAAGTGAGGCGACCCATACTCAGAATTTGTGCTCTGCATTTAAACCATCCAAGTGCACACACACACCCGGAGCAGTGGGCAGCAGTCCAGGAAGCAGTTGGGGGTTTGGTGCCTTGCTCAAGGGACTCACCTCAGTCATGGTACTGAGGGTGGAAGAGAGCACCAACTATTCACTCCCCCCACCTACAATTCCTGCCAGACCTGAGACTCAAACCCGCAACCTTTGGGTTACAAGTCCAACTCTCTAACCATTAGGCCACGACTGCCCCATTTATTTATTTTTATAGCAAAGATTAGCATGCATAGTCACTGAAGCACATCAATGCTTGCATCACAATATTAAGTACTGATAACCATCAGTTGCTCAGTATCACAAAGATGATAAAGCATTGATGATCCTGGTCTCCATTCTCCAGCCCTTCTCAACCTAAACTCATCAGTATCCTGGGATTGAAAATTTCTCCTCCGGGCATTTATTTTACCTGAGCATACGCCACATCATTAGATCCAGCAGCTGAAAATATAGAAATAAATTCAAAATTCATATTTAAATTTTTTTATACAGTATTTGATTTCATTCTTAAATTCTCAGCGATGCTTGTAGATGCAGTTTTCAGTGGCTCCTTGTGAACTATGATTGATGTTTTTACTTTGACACTCACCTTGATGGGTCACCAGGGTCAGTTTAGAGTAAACAGTGTCAGAACTTTCACTGGTATTCCCTAAAAGACTTGTAGATTTGAGCTCAATCTCAGCATAGATGTGTTCAGCAGGTCCACTTACACTGCCTACAATGCATAATAGACAAATAAATGCTTGGTTTAACTTAATTTCCTCTGCAAATATCACAGTGAGAACAAACAAACAAACATGGATTTGATTTCTATTTTCTTTAGAAAACAACTGCTGATTCAGTAAAAATATTATTATGAGAAAGTCATTTAAATGACATCATTAGTTACCTGTAATTATGTCTTTGTTAATCGTTTCATCAACAGACTCATAAATATGAGCAGTTCCTGCAATAAATGAATACATTAATTTCGAGTAGTATATTTTTCAAATTATTTTATCATGCATCTTATGATTTCAATTCCACAGAAAAAATCACAAGATTTAGGGACAGAGTTAGTGTCTACAAAAATGTCATTGAATTTTACTTTGGCAGAAGATGGACCTTTGTTTTTTCTGTAGCGCCACAGAAGGACCAAGATGACAATGATCAAAAATGTGACAGTCAGTCCTGCAGTCACTCCAATTATCATGAGATTGAACCCTTCAGATCTTGATGTTCTGTAGGAAGCTGAGATAAATAAATTTTACATTCAGATTAGTGCTGTAAATGATACAGGCACATTTCAATAGTTTTTATATTTCTTAGTCTCACCTCTGACTGAGATCCAGCTCTTGGGTGACTCTCCTCTCTCTGAGTGTTTGCAGTAGTAGAAACCCTCATGTGACTTTGAGACAGTAGAGATGATCATCTCTGTAGTTTGATTCTGGATGAGTGATCCATCTTTATAGAAATCAGCTCTGAGGTTTGGTGGAGTTAAATGTTGATATAAACAGCGTAGAGTCAGAGTATCTCCTTCAGTCACAGGATGAACAGGACTCTCCAGAATTACAGCATCTACAGAAACAGAGGAAACATGAGCTGATTGCAAATATTATATTAACAATATGGTAACATAATAATAATAATAATTTAAAAAAGTATGTTTTCTGACAAAACTTGATTTTTAGTGCCACTTGCCCACTGAGTGTTTTTTGCCCACTGATGCATCCTGCACTTGTTTAATCAACCTGCTTTATCTATTGATTGTAAACAGCCAGTCAAACAAATACGCACAGACTCACAGTGTACAGTGATATTAACAGGATGATAGTTCTCTCCAGATTCAGACTGACACCAGTACACTCCTGTGTCTGATGTGATATTGGAGTTGATTGTACATGTAGATCCTGTTTGTGATCCCCACACTGATGATTATCAATCTTCTAGCAGCCTCCAACTCTCTGTGTATCTTCTCACTCTCCATCTATCAGAGTTACTTTGGTCCTCACAGCTCAGAGAGAGAGAGACCAATGTGAAGTGTTGAGTTCTGCTAGGACTGATGATCAGAGAGACTGGAGGAGAAACACCTGAGAAGACAATTACAGCTACACCTTAAGAAGCGTTTCAAAATAAATTTATATTAAAGTGGTCAGAGCACATATAGTTTTTATTAGGCATATTTAGTTATTTTCCCTCAGATCCTTAGTAATTTTTGTTCCACAAATACTAATATTTATTTATTCATAAACATTTTCCACTCTCTCTCTGACTCTCAGAATTAAATGGGCCGTAACAAAGGAGTCGAAGTTTTGCTGGTACCTCATCAGTCCCTGCTGGTAGATGTCATAACTACACTTTCTGGCAGCAAAAAGCTTTTTTTCTGTATCGACAGCCATTCAAAAGTAGCAGTGAATTATGAAAGAATAATTTTTTAACATATTTGTAAATCACAATCTATCATAGCTTTCTTGTATCTCATTGCTTATTACAAAACTGAAGTTTCGACTCTAAATTCTGATTGGATGAGTCACATTTTAAGTGCAAATAAACACCCATAACCACACATTCTGCTGTTTATTCATGTGGCAAACTGCTACATTGCATAGCAGGAGTAAACAGCCTACAGTAATAATGAACTTGCCAGAAGCTGAATGATGTTGATGATTAGACAGTAACATGAAATCATATAAAATAAAAAAGTAATATGTTAGTGAATAAAATTAATATTAAGAAATTAAATGTGTAAATGAGAATGACAAAGTAATATGAAAGAGATGAAGAAACAACATAAATGAAGTCAAGCACAGATGTATGTTTGCTCTTTTCAAGCTGCATATACAAAGATTGCTATTAATAGCTCAAATGAGATCCTCAGATCCTTCACTCATTACCTGTGGAAAAATCAGTGTAATGCTCAGCTTATAGAGGCTGTTGCATTTGCTATATGCTATATTTTGGAACAGTGAGTTTTGATTTCTGAAACAGTATATAAAAATCAAGGAATTAGATTTCTCATGATACAGAGTAATCAGTTAGTGTCTCATATAACACACTCTCACACATTCTTGTTAGGGCTTCATTCATTCAGTTTGAACTCACCAGTGACCCATACTGGCTGTTTGTTGCTGTAGGTTGTATAATAACCTGGTTTTCCTCTCTCTGCTGTGCACACATAAACTCCTGTGTGTTTTAGAGCTGCAGAACTGAACGTATAGTTTCCTCCAGCTCCTCTGCTGCTGTCTGAGAGGAGGTTATAACGATTTCTGTAGTCTGTAAACAGTAAAAATGTGCAGTTACCTTAAGAAGCTGTTTCCACAGAAGTCTTGTAAATTACCTCTGGTATAAAACGATTTAGATTGATTCAGTATTTTTTAATCTCAATAATATTTCTGACTTGAACTTTTATATCTTACCTGATGAAACCGCGTACCAGCTGAATGTCCAGCCTGTAGAGGAGCCGTAAACCTCACAGATCAGAGTCACTGGATCTCCTTCAGTCAACCACTTCTGTGGAGAAACACTTAAAACTGCGCTGGGAACTGAAATTGAGAAATCAATCATTTAATAACATGTAAAGAGTGTGTGTATGAAGAGATGATCAAACTCACCTACTGTTAGTGTAACTTCATCACCGATGTTTGATGTTCGTGATCCTCCTCTCTCTCTGAAATACAACAAACCAAACCACAACCTCACATCTGCCTATTTCTATTTTATCAGGCCTCTGACACTGATGGTGTTGAGTTTGACAATGATATATTTATTCATATGAACACAGTTTATACACAAAGGCAAGGGACGGGCATTAAAACAAATTTAGCGATTATGATTCCAGTTCCTCTTGATGAATGCATCTCCTTAATCTAAAAAAAGATTTTTTTTAAGTTGTTTTATTGAAGAAATTCTTATTTTCAGCTCTGATAAGTCTGTTTAGTTGTGTAAAAAGGTCAGGAGTCTTTTATTGTCATTTAAACAGTTTACACATGGTTGTAAACTAAGCAGTGAAATTTGTGAGATACTGTAAACTCTGAACAACAACAAAAGCACAGCAATGCCAAACACAAAAGTGCAATATAACACAACAACAATGCATGTGCAATATGGTATCTTTCTTGGTTAAGTATTTGATATCTAGGAACTATTCCATTTACCGTGTATTTACAAACACTTTTAATGTGTTTGTAGAGAGTTGTGTAGTAATGTAACATCATTCATTATTTTATAAAATACCATGTGTATCTTAAACTACGGTTTGTCTTAACAGGTCAGTAACTCATTTGTTCAGTATAAATGTTTTTTTTTTTGCAAACATTTTTAGAAAGATGTAGCCTACATCAAATATGCATCAATATTTAAGTGTGAGACTGAGGTGAAAGAGGAACTACTTAAAGGGGTCATATGATGCGATTTCAAGTTTTCCTTTCTCTTTGGAGTGTTACAAGCTCTTGGTGCATAAAGAAGATCTGTAAAGTTGCAAAGACTAAAGTCTCAAATCCAACCTACAATAATGTACAGTATTTGAAAAATAATGTGTTTTTTTAACATTAAAGCATGTCAACATATTCTGTTACACCAAATACACAAAATAATGATCTTTAAAATAGCATCATATGACCCCTTTAATAAACAGCTTGTATTAGACACATTACTAAGAATTTCTAGTTGATGGTGCCATGATGCCAAATAAACCACATGCAGCTTGAGGACAACAGACTGCATGTGGTTTCAGATCTTATTTTATTAGTGCTTCATGCGGAATGAGAAATGCTAGTAAAAACTTAACACATTAATTTTAATTGGTCATTTTTAACTCGTGCATGAGAAGCATCAATATTATTGTTGTCTCTGTGTGTCAAAATTTTATGTTCATACATTGGAATTTGAATATGTTTATGTATTTGAAGTTTTTCAAATGCTAACCAATGAGGAGAAGATTAAAGAGCTCTTTTCAAATATTTCTTGGGATTCAGGGACCCAGAAACGTCATAAACTGCATCAGAGTATTTTCATGTAGTTCTACGGCAGAAAGGAACAGTTCAGCTTGTTAAAGGAGAGAGACCGCAAGGCTTTGTGTGTTGGATGCTCAACTATAATTCATCGGCCATCTTCTGGTGCGTGACGCATCGCTTATATTAATAATGAACTGTTTTCCCGTTTCCCAAAGCGTCACGGAATTACTTCTCTGTGAGTTGGAGAGTTTTCACAACAGAGTGGAGTAACTGAGTGAGTAAACAGTTTAACGGCATACTATAAATCTGTATTTCATCCATTCATGACTGTTATTACGTGCGCCACCTAATTCGGGGCACCCCACGAGAAATCCAAGTGCTTGGTGTATGAACTATTAAACATTTAAAGGGTGAATGTGTGATTTGTGGTACAGTTTTGAATTTGTGGAAGTTTACATAGATTCGAGTCGGCATTGCCCTCTGAGTCTCTTGCTGTTTTTTTTCCCTGACTGTGTTCATTCTGTAATTTTCGGACACTATATATAAAATAAAGAAAAGTGGGTTCATTTGTTTTTGTCTAAACAAAAGAGGATATTTTACTTCAGATTTAAGTATAAGGGCTGTATTTAGGTAAAATACATAAGTCTTTACATGTTACTACTTCTGTATTTGTTTCACTGTATATTTTAATCCATTGATGTGATTACAGTAATTTTCCAAGGAAGAAACCAGCCCATAACAAATAATTGAATCAACTTTATTTTATCAAGAGTAACAGTGTACAGCATTTTGTGTGTGTGTAAGTAAACGTTTTCTTAACTGGAAGCACTACGTCACATAGATTATAGTTTCTACAAAACACATAACTTACCAGCCAACTCACCATCAATTGCTGGAGCCCAGGTCTTGCTGATTTAAGTGCCATTATACCTCACAATAGGGTTACACATGTAAAACCTGGCTGACTGCAGTAAGAGGTCATGGTTCTTTTGCTTTCACTGTGACACTGCAAGAATGTTTTAACAAAGCATCAGCTCCAGAATATTTTAAAAGGGACTGCTTCTTTATTTTAAAAAAGGAAACATGAACACTTAAAACTAAGAAAAACCTACTGCGATACAAGTCAGCAAACTTACACTAAATTACAGTGTGGATTCATGTGGTTATAATGTGAAGCAAACAAACATCACAGAGGCTACGTAACATTGCTGTACTGAGCCTTATATTCTAAAGGACTGAACTGCTTTACCATAGTGTTAAAGCACAACTAACTTTAAATAACATTTCTAACTTGGATAGAACTTGTTAATTTAAAAGTTACCACATGAAGCTTATTATAACTTACCTAATGAACCAGTTACAGTGAATTCAGTTTCAGCTGAATGTCGAGAGGAACCATAAACCTTGCAGATGAGAGTCACTGTCTGTCCTCTGATTAGATGCTGATTAGGTTCGATTGTCTCACACACACACACACACACACACACACACACACACACGGTTTACGGGGGGACTCTCCATAGGCGTAATGGTTTTTATACTGTACAAACTGTATTTTCCATCGCCCTACACCTAACCCTTACAGAAAACTACTGGCAATTTTTTAATTTCATAAAACACCGTTTTGTATGTTTTTTTAAGCCTTTTGTTTTACGGAGACACAGGACGTGTCCTCATAAACCATGTTTACATTGTAGTACCCATGTCATTATCAGTGTTGGGCAAGTTACTTCCAAAATGTAATACATTGTATATTACTAGTTACTGTCTTTTGATACATATTTGTGTCCTCATTAACCATAAATACCAGTACACGCACGCACGCACGCACACACACACACACACACACACAGATTATGTAAGTATTAACCAGCCAGATTTTAAATCAGATATTGTACATAAAATGCCTGAAGAAATTACCCTCACATCTCACCCAGTCCTTCCATCCATAAGACTCATTCGGAGAACTTTCCATCACATATATCTCCCTACATTTCGAATTAAATGATCACTCTGATCAGATCACCTTAGGGATGTGTCTTATCTTTGTTATTATTCATCTTATATTCAAATTCCTGTTCAAGTTCTTTTAAAAATAGATATATTATAAAGTATGCAGATGATACTGCTCTAGTGAGCCTCACATTATGGGGAGGAAAAACACACAGGCCTGTTTTGGATTTCTTTTTAAACTGGTGTGAGAACTCAAATCTCCTCTCAAATATCTCCAAAAACTAAAGAGATGATTACTGATTTTAGAGAGAGAGAGAGAGCAGAATATATCCCATCTTACATTAACGAATGGGGAGCACATACAATTAGTATCAAATTATAAACACCTCGGTATAATGTTGGACCATAAACTTATATGGGATGCATGGACTGATTATGTAAGCAAGAAGATACAACAGAGAATGTATTTCATAAAGACATACCTTTCTTTTAATGCCCATAGCAGAATGCCTTTGATGTTTTATAGGGCTTTAATTGAAAGTGTTATGATATTCTGTGTGATTTGCTGGTATGGCAATGCTTCCAATGTTCAGAGGTCATCAGTGGGGAAGGTGGTAACAATAGCGCGTAAACGGTTAGGTATACAGTTACGGACTATAGACAGTATATATAAAGAAAGAGTGTTGAGTAAAGGCTAACATTATTGTGAATGATAAGAGGCATCCTTTATCTTATGCTTTTGAAATATTGCCATCTGGCTAATGATATTGTGTTCCCTGATGCATGAAAAACAGGCCCAAACTATTATGCCCCAAGCAATTAAATTCTTAAATTATTCTTCCTCTAGTGTTAATTGATGGTTAGCTGGTCTGGTTATTTATATTTAGACTTATTTATATTAAATTATTGTTTATGCCAACTGTGATTGTTAAATACAGTATCTGTGTGAGTATGCTGCATAGGTACATTATAAATACATTTAAATAAAACTGAAAAGAACATCTCCCTCAGTCTGTAAACACCAGTGTTATTTCCTGAAGATTTTTTAACTGTGATGTTTTTCTCAGCAGCAGTCAGGAGTATTCCTGAGAGATACATTATCTTCACTGTGTATTAAAACTGGCCAAACTCTTGTAAGGGTGGATTCAGTACAGTGGTTCGGACTGCAGGTATGCTGACTGACTGAAGAAACTTTATCAGTGGGATGGTATAAAACTGTACATTTCTTGTCTATTACCACCCACTGCTACTTATACCAACAATGGAAATAAGTGCAGTAAAAATAGCAAAACGTGGGAGAGCGTCACTATTGTGTCACTGTATTGTATTGCAATAGGCAACACTTTAAACAGTGTTGAATCAAAACTATAGCTAGCACATAAGTTGCGCTATTTTTTTAAAATGATTTAATAACAGTATTTCATTATGGTTACACTTGAATTGGTTACAAAATAGATGAAGGAAATTAAACATACAGTTAATTGTACCCAACATGTATATAAAAACTATCTCTGAGGGAGAATAAATACCAAATGTGAGACATTCCAAATGGCTCTTTTGTTATAGAAGATAACAGGATGTTTGGGACAGGAAAGGCAAAAGTCTTTGTTGATTTTCAACTTTACACTCTCAAACTTGCTCTTAAACGATTTCTGTGCAAATCAACTTGAAAGATTGTATTAATGACACCAAATACAGTTGTCCAGTATCAATCTAGAATGGAACAGTGCTAAAAGATTTGAGTGCATGTAATGATTTGTTCTCCACATTCTCTTCAGTGTGACTTAAATTAAACGTAGCAACAATTTGGGGTGTTAGAGAAAAAAAATGATTAGCCACTTTCCAGTGATATTTTCTCCAGTTACACTACAGGTAATTTTTTCTGTTTCTACATGTATCTCAGTCAAGGTCTCATCAGAAATCATTGACTCCCATTTGGACTTGATATGATGTGTATTCTCTCTCTTCACAGTCATACCACCTAAAGCTCTATATATGCTGCTTATCGGTGAAAGGATCTTTTACCGGTCTGCACATTAACCAGAATAAGCTCAATTGATGACAGACTGTCTTTTAACTTTTTTTTTTTCCAATTTGGATGTTTAAAGAGGAAGCTACGAATCTGGAGATATCTGTAAAAGTCAGTCTTAGGTGCAAATTCAATTACAAGTTGTTTGAAGGTTTTAAGTGTTTCTTCTTACAATAGTTGGTGGATATACTGTAACATTTTCAGAGCTCATTTTCTGAAACCAGAGTCTGTTTTCAAGTATAAAATATATTCATCTGTGATCTGGATGTTAGTCATGAAAGCCCGACAGGAAGGTCATAAATCTTTTGAAACTCCCTCCATAAAAAAAAAAAAAGTCGTCACCAATTTATACTTGGTTATCTTTGATTCTTTATTAAATGCAAGAGCTGCTTGTAGGAATAGACTGGAGTTAAACTTTTCAATTTCTAGCCAACCAGTCCCTTCATCACCAATTTCAACTTGGACCTATAGTCCTAGTTTTCAAAATAAAACATTGAATAAGTATATTGACAAGTTAAAAGGGTGCATTTATAATCATAATAAAATGTAACATTAATTTCTCAACTCTCGGGTGGTTTGTAACAGTTAGAATCAGTCAAATGTGAGAAATATATGAATCACTTGAATCAATTTACTCGCCTTCAGTGTTTCCAGAGTGGATGTGTGAAATCAGCACTAAAAACACAAAGAGAAAAAACTCATTACAGTGTGAATATGGAACTGATCAACTTTCCTTTATACTTTAGACATAAAAGTTTAAAGGAATGCCATAATTTTACTCTCAAATGTTTCTCAGCTCAGCTTGTTTTTTTAGATGTAGTGGCAACTGAATGAGTATTTCTGTAAAAACCTGAAAACAGTGACTGTTATAAGTAGTAACTCACATTAAGATATTGTTGTGGGACTACATGTATATGTGTTCAGAGAAAACACTGAAACATTTGTTTGATGTTTTATAGATTTCATCATCAAAGCAGAGAGAACTTGAACTTGTTTAGGCAACTTGAAGCAAACAGTCTGATAAAGATACGCTTTTACTAACTGTGTACTATTTACTATTTACATAATATAATAGCAATTACCAGCCACTGAAATACATAGATAAAAAATAATACTCACAGAGCACAAGAGGAAGTTGACTGAGCTCCATACTGACTGAATGATGACAGACGGTTAAAGACACAGACTGTGTTAAAGCCTCAAGACTTCCTGAAACCTGCAGTCAGATCTTTAGGAACATCATGACAGATTAAAGACATGCAAATGTACCTCATGTGTTACAGAAGATCTTTTGATAATTTTGATAATCTTGTAACATGTTTTTGTTACACTTGAATTGGTTACAAAATAGATGAAGGAAATTAAACATACAGTTAATTGTACCCAACATGTATATAAAAACTATCTCTGAGGGAGAATAAATACCAAATGTGAGACATTCCAAATGACTCTTTTGTTATAGAAGATAACAGGATGTTTGGGACAGGAAAGGCAAAAGTCTTTGTTGATTTTCAACTTTACACTCTCAAACTTGCTCTTAAACGATTTCTGTGCAAATCAACTTGAAAGATTGTATTAATGACACCAAATACAGTTGTCCAGTATCAATCTAGAATGGAACAGTGCTAAAAGATTTGAGTGCATGTAATGATTTGTTCTCCACATTCTCTTCAGTGTGACTTAAATTAAACGTAGCAACAATTTGGGGTGTTAGAGAAAAAAAATGATTAGCCACTTTCCAGTGATATTTTCTCCAGTTACACTACAGGTAATTTTTTCTGTTTCTACATGTATCTCAGTCAAGGTCTCATCAGAAATCATTGACTCCCATTTGGACTTGATATGATGTGTATTCTCTCTCTTCACAGTCATACCATCTAAAGCTCTATATATGCTGCTTATCGGTGAAAGGATCTTTTACCAGTCTGCACATTAACCAGAATAAGCTCAATTGATGACAGACTGTCTTTTAACTTTTTTTTTTTCCAATTTGGATGTTTAAAGAGGAAGCTACGAATCTGGAGATATCTGTAAAAGTCAGTCTTAGGTGCAAATTCAATTACAAGTTGTTTGAAGGTTTTAAGTGTTTCTTCTTACAATAGTTGGTGGATATACTGTAACATTTTCAGAGCTCATTTTCTGAAACCAGAGTCTGTTTTCAAGTATAAAATATATTCATCTGTGATCTGGATGTTAGTCATGAAAGCCCGACAGGAAGGTCATAAATCTTTTGAAACTCCCTCCATAAAAAAAAAAAAAGTCGTCACCAATTTATACTTGGTTATCTTTGATTCTTTATTAAATGCAAGAGCTGCTTGTAGGAATAGACTGGAGTTAAACTTTTCAATTTCTAGCCAACCAGTCCCTTCATCACCAATTTCAACTTGGACCTATAGTCCTAGTTTTCAAAATAAAACATTGAATAAGTATATTGACAAGTTAAAAGGGTGCATTTATAATCATAATAAAATGTAACATTAATTTCTCAACTCTCGGGTGGTTTGTAACAGTTAGAATCAGTCAAATGTGAGAAATATATGAATCACTTGAATCAATTTACTCGCCTTCAGTGTTTCCAGAGTGGATGTGTGAAATCAGCACTAAAAACACAAAGAGAAAAAACTCATTACAGTGTGAACATTGAGCTGATCAACTGGATTTTACAGCATTTTATAATTTGTCTAGAGCTAAAGGCATCTGTAAAAGTGTGATCTAATTAAAATATTTAAGATTCAAAACTCAAAAAAAAAAAAAAGTTGAGTGAATTTTAAGGAACTTGACAATTTTCAGTAAAAAAAAAAATCTTACAGACAAAACAATAAAAAGAAAAAAAAAAGGAAAGATAATTATAAAGATGAACAAATATTAAGATATAGTGTTGATGACTGTACGAGTCCAGATAAACATTAAAACATCTGACTGGTATTTTATAGATTTGGTCATAGCAGAGAACTGTTTAGGGAACTTCAAGCCAACA